GATTGGAGTGGCTATTAATTAAGATTGTTGAAATTAAACACAGTTTTTGTAAACGCGTAAAATTGGCGCACGTGCACCTTAACATGCATAACATAAGAGCCAATTAGAATGGCTATTAAGAACAAGTAAATTTTAGACTTTAAATTAAAAACATTTTGTAAACACATATAAAATTGGTACTCATGCGCCTTAACAAAGACAGCATAGAAGTCGATCGGAATAGAACCATAAGTGCAAGTTTACATTAAAATTTAAATATAAAATCATGGGACATAATTTAAAATACACAAAATGCATGTAACATATAAAAAGACGCACATAAAGAGGCCGACACGTATGTGCCTTGAACCACATAGGAGGTGCGAGAAAATGTGGACGCTGTGATGCCACGAATGCTCCCGTACTGTGGACGCTTCACGGCCCGGATCTTTAGGCAAAATGGTTTTCGTTTACCCATTGCCCCACAACCATGTCTGCGACGAATGTTGTGTAATGATAGAGATGCTACTTTCACCCTGGAAAAATCTGGTGTATACTCTGTTCCCCTGCAGAATCCAATATCAGGACTATGCATTTTATAGGACTCCTATTTTATAGGAGTATATTTTATAGGAGTGACTACCAGAATGCTGGTTGCTCGCATATCTGAACACCAATGTTCGGAGGCACTTGGCAGTTGCGACACTGAACTTTCCAAATTGGTGGTACATCATCACCCCACATAGCACTTTGGAATCGGGTGGCAATACTCAAACGCTGTGATGAAGGAAGCTTGCTATATATTTGGGAGACCCTCCTTACAAAAAACTGCTCTCCCTGTGCAACTCCTCTACTCTTGACTTACCGGACATCTGGATTAATTTATACAGGCATTAAAAAATCAACAATACACTCATTTCCTGCACCTCCTATGTGGTTCAAGGCACATACGTGTCGGCCTCTTTATGTGCGTCTTTTTATATGTTACATGCATTTTGTGTATTTTAAATTATGTCCCATGATTTTATATTTAAATTTTAATGTAAACTTGCACTTATGGTTCTATTCCGATCGACTTCTATGCTGTCTTTGTTAAGGCGCATGAGTACCAATTTTATACGTGTTTACAAAATGTTTTTAATTTAAAGTCTAAAATTTACTTGTTCTTAATAGCCATTCTAATTGGCTCTTATGTTATGCATGTTAAGGTGCACGTGCGCCAATTTTACGCGTTTACAAAAACTGTGTTTAATTTCAACAATCTTAATTAATAGCCACTCCAATCGGGGTTTATTTATTTATGCATGAGTGCCAATTTTAAATGTTTTTTATTTTAAAATGTAAAATTTAAATCTTATTTACTTTAATACTGTGTTTCCCTGAAAATAAGACATCCTCTGAAAATAAGACCTACCATAGGTTTCGCTGAATTGCTAAATATAAGGCCTCCCCTCGAAAGTAAGACCTAGCAAAGTTTTTTTTACTGGTAATGGTCATCGACAGATGGTTGAAAGTGGCCGTTGGTTTTTTGAAAGTACAGCCACTGATTGGTCAGCAGACAATTATGCCACACGGCATGATTTGCATAAAACTATGGCTTGGGAATCACATATTTGCATAATGTTATGGCTGGTGAAGGCTAATAGGTCGGCCGGGAATCATGCCACATGACATTTGCATAGTGCTACGGTTCAGTAAGCACTAATTGTCATCGAGCCCGATGTCGACACTATAAAAAGGTTAAGTTGAAGCGAGAGTGGGAAGTCCACTCCAGCACAGGAACTTCGTAAGTTCAGTTCAGTTTTATTTAAGTTCAGTTCGACGCGACCGGATATATGTCACTCTCGTCTAAGTTCGACTAGGGAATTTTTTTTGTTCAATAATATATGTGAATTCTTCTTCACGAAAAAAATAAGACATTCCCTGAAAATAAGACCTAGCGCATCTTTCAGAGCAAAAATTAATATAAGACACTGTCTTATTTTTGGGGAAACACGGTAGTTATGTTCCAAATACAGCTAATATCGTTAATGCTTAAATTTAAATGTTCTCTTTGAATTCTCTTTTCAATTTTGAATTGCCTGAGGATGACGTATATATTTACGTTGAAAGCGCTTGCAAGATTAAAATATTCCTTTTAATTCTCTTTAATGCTTCCTAGTCTCAAGTTTCTAATTTAGATATTCATATATGTACAGTACATATTTTAAAGTATGTACTGTACATAAATGAATATTTAGCATAATATTTGAAAGTTTTAATCATTATTTTGGAAATTCTTGGCAACAATTTTCTATCTCCTATATATTATTGTTGATTATTGTAGTGATTTTTCAGGCAAAATTAACTACAGTTGTGTAAAAAAGTGCAGTTTCCTTTTATATTTTTTTGGCAATGTAATGAGATCAAGTGTCTGAGAAGACAATTGAGAATTGTTTTTAAAAAAATAGACAGAGACATCAGGAAATGAAGTTACCTGTTAAAGAGAAGATCATAAATAACGTTCTAGAAGAAATATCAAATTAAAAGTTTAAAAACTGATTGACAATTGAGAAGAAAATTCCAGTACCTGTCTACTGTTGATATGATGATGTCATCAGAAATATGCCAAACTGCTATGAATAAGACTCTGGAGAATTATCTGATGAAGAAAATCTACATAAAGACATTAAGGACTGATGAGGGGCAAATGGCCCAAAAGGCATTTCCTTTCATAAAAAATAGAAAATAAAGTCTTTTTCTATCAAAAACGTGTTCCTATGTGATAAGTTCTCTGTAGCAATTTTCTGCTTAATTCTAAAGAACATAAAAGAGAACAAGAAGCAATCAGGTACCAACATAAAGATAGTCTACATTCTCTAACAAATGCTTTAATGCAAGATGTTCTGTGAGTACTTCATCATAGTATACAGATTTATTGAGCTTGAAAAATAGTATGAATATGATTCTTTTATGAGTATTAACGAAATATTGCCTCCCAAAAAAGTAGCTGGCAAATAATGGTGGATGAACTACTCAAGTAATTATTATTATAATTAATGAACTTTTAAGTTAGTTGTTAAATTTATAAAATTTAAATAATTGTACACAACAAATACTATTAGAAAAATAAATAACATACAGCACTATTTATTTTTCTATTAAATTTATTTTTAACATTTTTGTTTTGTTTTAGCATGTTTTTAAATTATCTGATTCAATAAAACTAGAGTTTCCATTAGTGCCTAGAGGCCATTCACATTTATAAATCAACCCTCAATGACAACTGCATCAATTTTAAGGATGAGTTGGTTCTGTCGCCGGCCTGGCAGGCATTGATGGACTCCGAACTTTAAGGTCACAATATGTCAACCAGGCGAACAATGCATACATCTCATGTAACACGTAAAATTTATCAAATTTCTGTAATGGTTTGCTCAGTCCCATCAGTTATTCTGTTTCACAACTAAAGAACAACTCACAGCAATTCAAAAACGTTTGTGGTGATCTTTATCTTTTGTTTTTTATATCACACTGGTTATAGGTTTTAAGAGTGCAGTATTTAACACATCCTGGTGTTTTGTGGTGTAGTTTATTTTCAGTTTACAATAAGCCTTACCTTTATTCAATAGACAACAAGCTTATTATTAGAATTTATTAAAATACTGTATAAATTTTTTTCATTAAAATTCAAACAATTAACATTTTTGAACTCGGAAAATGAAAAACAAAAANGTATAAATTTTTTTTTGTTTTTATATTTTTCAATATATTTATTTTGTTTGTAAAAAATAAAGAAATAATTTTTAACGATACAATAGCCACAATTATTATTTTAAAAAGTTTACATTAGGCTCAAAAGTTTACATTATAGTTAACATTGATGAATATTCAATGCAAAGTGACATGCAACGGAGAAAAATTTCAGCATGGGATAGGTTAATATATTTTTTCATACATAATCGGTTATCCGAAAAATAAGTTATCCGAACAACCCCAGTCCCCAATTGATTCAGATAAACGACACTCTACTGTAGTCTAAACTTCAATTATGAAGAAAATACATCCTGAGTTATTACAAAAAAAAAAAAAAACTTAATGATTTGTGTCAAAACATTAAGGTCATTTTTTTTTATCATTCAATATGATTTCATTACTCCAGCCTGTGAACCAAGAGATAATTTTAACATATAAAGCAAACTACCTATATAAGACTTTTAGTCAGTCTGTTGAAAAAACAAATATAGAAGATCTTTGATAGAATTTTGAAAACATTTTAGCATAAAAAATGCTACTAGAAAACATTGATGAAACATGGAGTTAATTTACAATACTTAACATGAGATCTGTTAAGGATTCAAGTCTGAAATTAATGGTACCATAGAAGAAATTATGTAACTTGTATTGGATCTAAGATTAAATGAAATCGGTAAGGAAGACAAGACATTCAAGAATTGCTCCAGTCCTATGATGATGATCTTACTGATGAAGAACTTATTAAACTGGATACAGCAACACCATACAAAGCTTGGGATAACAATATTGGAGGTGATGAAATTAAAACAGCAATAAAAGAATTCGATAAAATGTTTCATGTTTATTGAATCTCTTGATAAAAAAAAATAATCACTAATCCTGAATGTTCAATAAAATATCCTACAGTATTTTTCTGAAAAATAACTCATATGTTTTTTGTTTAACAATAAAGTTTTAAAATTAGAAGTTTCATTTAATTTATTATCTCCTTTCTTTAATTATTTATGCTAGATATTCATTTCATACAGTCGACCCTCCTATAACACGGTAGATACGTTCTGTTCTTTATGAATCAATTTTGTACAAGTCCTTGCCAATCACAGCCCAACACGTGTGAAGTTTACGGACTACAGCTGTTTGAAAGNTAAAAAAAATTTCAAGCTGATTTATTATTTTGTTGTAACATAATACATGTTATTTTCAGATTCAAGTATTGATAGCCCTCCTTCAACTAAGCCATCGAAAAAGTATTCCGATCTCAGTGGTTTACCGGTATAAATATTTTATTTTCAATTTTCTCTTAGGCTACAAATTTTTGTAGACTTAATTTCATATAATTATTATATTAATTAGCTAGATTTTTTAAATATTTGCATTTTATATATTTTACATATACAGTAAAATGTTTTAACAGATCATGGAACAGCAGATTCTTGGAATAACAGATTTTTTCCCTAGTTTCAGCCAATCAATGTAATTTTACCTCATTTTAGCAGATTCATAATTCGGAATAACAGATGGGGCTAGAAAAAATTCTAGCCCCATCTATTGTAAACTTCATGTTTTTTAACATTTAGTTACTATTCAGGTGTTTCTGGGAATTTATAGTTTTAATGATGAACTTGTTAGTCTACTACATCTAGGATATATACAATTGAAGAATTGCATGAAGAGAGTCAGTAAGATAATATGATAGAGGAGGAGCCAACTAATGAACATTGACATTGGTTCAAGTGTAGTGCCAAAATTTAGTAAGACCATTGAATCTTTTTGAGTTGTGAAGACCTTCCTGATGAGTTTCAGCATAAATGACAGGCTGTACGTGACATTTCTTATATCAAGTGGTTGTTATATTCAATAGGCAGAAAAGTGGCATCAAAACTAACCAAGATGGACAAGTTTTTTTTACAAATCAATCTTTTTGTGCTTAGAGTACATACTCTTTCCATCAACAGTATCATACACACATACAGCATAATATACAATCTTGTACAGTACATTGCATTTCTATAAAATAAAGATCTCAAGAGACTAAATAATTTCAAGTACAGGTATTTCTTATATGTAGAGGGTCAAATAATGGATATTTTTCTGGAAGTGCAGGAAATCTGTTGTTCTCAATATCACAGATTCTCAGAACAATGGATGATTTTCAGCAGCCCAAGCGATCTGTTAAAATGAGATTCTACTGTATTTGTATGTTAATGGCTTATTTTGTTATAAAAAGATCATGTAATTTTTCATTAGAAATTTATTTCAACAATAAACTTTAAATATTTCAATTTATAAACAGAATATTCAATCTCCATTCTCTGAATTGGTAATTGAATAAATTGAATACATGCAGTCTCTGATTTAGAACAGAGATTCATGGAGGAAGTGTTGCAAACAGAATTGTTGTAAATGGACTGACTGTAAAGTTATAATGTATTTGAATGAGTTTCATTTCAACCCTCAAAATATTTTTATCATAAATTATAATATTTCAACTATTAAAGTTACAGAATATATAAGTATTTTCACTAGTTTATTTATTGAAATGTTCATGTATATGTTACTGTGAAAGACCGAAATTAGAGAATATCGATATTCTCTGGTGAATGTCCACACATACAAAATACGTCGGTGAAAGTTAGAATATTTGGTTATATTATTATACATTCGAACAATCACCGGTGTATGTCGACAAGCAAGATAAGCTTTGGTGGAGATTGAAACGACACCCGAGAAGCCGATGTCAACAGAGAGGCGACAGTCTGTTGCCAAATCCTTTGTGGGTAGCTGGAGGTAGGACAAGGTCTTTTGATCCTATGAGGTGGGGATCGGTTTTTCAGGTCCAGTGGCGGATGATGAGAGGGGTTGTCAGTAAGGCATTGGCGATATTCAAATAAAAGACACCATTAAGAGATCAGTTCATAATCACATAATTACGTAATCAGTTCATAATTTGTAAAGAAAAGTTACTTTCCATAGATGAGATTTATTCTCAAAAATATCACTGAGAGAAGCAGCTGCAGCTAATTTGAAAAGTGGAGGGCAAGGCTATACACACTGTCATTGCAAAAAAAACTGTTCCAGAAATAAATTCAGTTTTAAAAGCAAGGGACTCTTGTGCAATTCAAAGTGTCACAATAGTTTAAGTTGTTGCAATAAATAAGATTGTATAACGTTAATCACATAAATTATGTGTAAGTTTATTATTGTATTATTTTCTTTAATGATTTAGAATGTGCTGTTCGTTTTAGGTTTAACAGTTTATTTAAATGTGCTGTTACTTAAGCTTTCTCCTATTTTCACATATTAAAATGTTGCATTTTTGTTTTAATGTAATAAAAATATTTTTATTCATTCACCATCAGCGTATGCTGAATGTCAACATTTGCCGGTGTAAGTGAGAAATAATAATATTTAGCAAATATTTCGTACATACACGAAACAAGTGTGTGAATGCTGACATTCACTGGAGAATGTTGACATTTGCCAGATATTGGTCATTCACAGTAACATATATATAAAAAACAATGTGCACTGTAATTATTTGAAAGTAACAAATTCAATTTTAAAAATTACCTATTGGGTTTTCATGGCTTCTTGTTCAGTTAAATTTATAATATTCATATATAAGCATAAAATTGCATTTTCAGATACTCATCATACTGGAAACTCTTCAGTAATTCAAAAGACCATAGATTTTATTGAATCTGAAAAACAAGCAATTTTAAGTTTACACATGAATATTAAAATATTTATATTGAGTTGTAGCCTTGTGTTGTAACATCTACTGTCAGTCCCCTTTATTGATCTTTTTTAACAATGATTTGGTAGAGAATTTAAAAGAATTATGCACTATTGGCATTGTTGTTTTTAAAATTGTGTGGACACCAAGTTTTTTTTGTTTATAAATTATTGATGTTTTTCATAAATTCTCATAATTCAGACCATCATAAATCAGGCCATCTGTAGAAATAAATAATAATGTTATGGTTAATTTAGAAATATAGTTATACAAGCTAAACTGTTCTAAATACGGAAAAGGTTTGTTAATCAAATATATATTATATTTATCAAAAAACACAAGCTGGCAAAATTAGAAAAAGTTTTAACCTGGAAATTGTCTGTCTTATGTTAGTAACAAGAAAGTAAACACTTTAACTTGTAACACTTTAAATGTTTTCAAACCCTACTAAACCTGATACAATGCAATATACAGTAATTGAAGATGTGTTATTTTCAAACTCTATTTCTAAATTTGAAATTTTAATCAAAATTTATTTATACTGTAATTGTGACTAAAATTGTTTGTGTAATTTATTTAAACTTATCAAAATAAAGAATTAAAATTTATTTCTCAATTAAAATTTTCAAAACTTAACATATTCAACATCAGAACAATTTTTATATTGTTTGTTCCAATTAGAAACAGCATTTTTAAGTCTCTTTTTAAAAAAATTTAAAACCTTCCCAATCAAAATTTAACATTTCTGTAAGATTCATATTAATTTATTTTTAATGCCAATAACCAGAAGTCTAAATTTATATTTTTAAAAACTTTTGTATTAATTAAATATCCATGGTCCTTTTGTGACATTTATCAATATTTCTTCTATGAACTTTATTTGCACTGCTTTCACATTCTTTGGAATTTCCTTCTGAATTATTTCAGTCAATCTATTTCTTTTTATAAATGTATTGTGATAGCATAAAATCTCTCTCTCTCTTTGTTTTTTTAATAATCTATGCAACTGCTTTCTAATGATGTTTCCTAACTAGTCTAGCTTTTCTCTTACTGTTTTATACTACAGTCTGATTTTTTTCTTGTTTTGATATATTATTTTTATTACTTCTTAAATGATCAAAAATGGCAGATAATCTAGATTATTTTTGGATTTTTCAATTTGGAGTTCTAAAAATGTGTTTCATAAAAAATTTCAGTTACTTTTATATATTTATTATTATATTTTCTAATATTTTTAAAATTATTTTTTTATTATATTCTTTTTACATGTTTTCAATATATTTAACTGGTTAAATAAAATTTATAGAAAATGGCTGTTTTATTTATTCCTGTAGATCTCTGTTCTCAAAGTAATTTTGTATGCCTTGTATATAAAACCTCACTAAGTCAAATACATTAATTTGAAGCTGTTTACAGGTTGCAGGCACAATATATAGTTTTCCATATAATATGGTGTTAATAAATTGAAATTGTTGGTACTTTCAACTTTAACCTCTTTTCTGTATAACCTCCACCCTTTGATAGATCTTGTATGTTTTTTGAATACAGACAATTAATACAGATAGGATTTATGCTGAACACAATACTATTACAACCTTGCATTGACATCCTTTTATTGATATAACATATTATGGCTTTTTGATTGTGACACAAGGAGCACCTTGACAACACACTCAAAAGTATCATAAACTATATACAATTTTGTAATTATTTTCTGAACAGATTCTTGAGAAATGATTTGATAACAAAATTTATGGCCACAGAAAAAATTGAGAAAATTCTCTATTAAATTAACTTAATAACTTAAAGTCAGGATTCTTTTTTATTCCTTAAACTTAGTTATAAAGGCATAGTGTGCAAAAAATATCATTTTATAACTTTCGATAATCTTTCTATTTGTAAATTTAAAATCTAGTTCTAGTGTCTAGTTTTTATAAATATCAATTTTTTTTCTAATATCTAAATTTAGATAATAAATATTTATTTTAACATTTTTTAAACTATTATTTGATTTTTGTTAATCTCTTCCACAATTGTGTTCATCATTTTTATTCTTATGAATTGCTTGAATTGCTAAGCAATCAACTATATATCATATTTTAATTTAACATACTTTTTCAAATTTATTAAATATTTTTATTTTAATAGAATATATGCAAGCTCTGTTTTTAATGTGCATCAATTGCATCTCATTTAAAAGTGTGCATCTTTTTTGTTTATGATAATTTCCTTTCAAATATAAAATCAAGTGAATATATTTTGATATACTGTATCTTTATTCCATTATTTTTACTTTAAAATAATTTTCATGTAAAAACCTCATGAATTCAAAGAACATTTTAGAGAAATGCTTACATGAGCTTAAAAATGTAAAATTTTGTATTTGCTATTTTTAGAGGATTTCTTTGTATCTTTATTCCATTATTTTTACTTTAAAATAATTTTCATGTAAAAACCTCATGAATTCAAAGAACATTTTAGAGAAATGCTTACATGAGCTTAAAAATGTAAAATTTTGTATTTGCTATTTTTAGAGGATTTCTTTCTATCTTTAAAGCACTAAATTCAAATTTAAAAATTTTTCTAAAATGTAGCTTTGAAAACATTCAATAAATAAAGCATTTCATATTTTTAAGTTTGTGTTGTAGCATTTCTGTAGATATTTTTTGAATTTGGTACAGGTATATCTCGCCTTACATCAGTAATTGGTTCCAGGAGAGGCGACGTAAGTCGAATTTACTTGTCTCTGAATCCACTTGTCACTAGGCTAAACCATAAATTACCATTCCTGGTTCTGTATTTTATTTATTAATGCATTTTTAATAATATATAGTTAATAAGGATCTATTTTAAGCTTACAAACAAATAAATTTTAGTTTTTAATATAATACAGAAAAAAGTAATCTAAATTTACGAATGCAGATACTGTAAATACAGTACATACTTGTAAATGTATATATTTTAATATGATTTTATGTGCTTTAAACATTTTTCTAGTGATATTATGACTTAAATATTTGTGGCTGACAGACATAAAGTTGAATAAAATGACTTAAACTTGATTTTTATTTTTCCATATACTTTTTTGACAAACGATGTATAATCAGGAACGACGTAAGTCAAGGTATACCTGTATATAGAAATAAATTTGTTGTATTTTGATTTTATAATTAATGAGTACAATTTTAAGATATGGAATCCAACCTCATTTTTATTTCTCTTGTAATTTCTGTTTATTTTAGTTTTGAGACATTTGTGTAGTTAGGAAAAAATAATTTATATTCCTGTCAGTATTAACTCAAAGTTTAATTTACTAGAAGCTAAGATTTGGCTCCTGGTCTTCCATACTCTGAAATCCCAGGAAATTAACCTTAATATAAAGAAAAAGATTTCATAGGAATTCTGTTTATATTAAATGCCATAATATATAATTAAAATGAAAGAAAATAGATAGATTATAAATAATTAAAGTATATTCTAAATATGATTGTGTCCATAATATGTCAGATTTGCCTAGTTCACTTTATAACTTAAAGTTGTTTAAACTATTAGAGCAATTTTGGATACTTTTTGTGTGCAATTACATTAAAATTAAATCGTTTTAAGATGTTCATTCTTTTTATGATGTCAAGAACTGAAAGATCCAGTAAATCCATCATGTGTAAATGCATTGAACTTTTAGAAGGAAATGAGATGGTAAAATGCAAAACAGACAATGCTGCCCTTAATTGATGTGATGTTCTTTTACAGTATATTTAACTTTATTTAGAAAGTTTGATTTAAGATAATATTATAAATTGATATCTGAAAGATTAGGCATCCACTATAAAACTTTCTAGAGAAATTACTGGTACTGGTACTAATAAGTGTTACCACTAAACCTTTGGGTTTCCAGTAGGGTTTGAATGTAGTAAATGAGGAAACGTTTTCAATTTTTTATCCATAATCTGCTTCAGGTTCTTATCATTCCAATTGTGGAATGCCAAGACTTTCAAACATTTTCAAATACTAATTGCTTAAAACTGTTAAATGCATTGATAGTACAGAATTGAATGATTTTATCCCATGACCATATTTTAATGCTGTGGCTGATCTTTGAGGGAATATGTAATTATTGATGCGGATGGTCATCACAGGCATATTGCATAGCTTTCTTTGAAGTTTACACAGTTCCTCAATTTGCTTGCCTTGTAAATTTCGAGTGTTTCCACAACTCTAGATGGGAGGACATACTCAAGGAACTTGAATGCCTAGAAGACATCACGACAAATCAGGGTACAATAGAAGCATAATTAGGAATTTAGCTCAGAACTTCTATAGACCAGAGTGGGTGACATACCTCCACAGACCAGGGAGGGTCTAATGAGATACATGATCTAAACGTCATTGCAAAACACAATGATAGAATATAACAAAAACCTGCATTCCCTATATAAAGAAATAGCACATAAGAAGGGCACAAAAATAGCTTACAAGAGGACACAAACAATTTACTCCCTATTGAGGAATGCCTGATAGTTTGAGGGCACCAGGAGTGTATAGTGTCCCAAACAGAGACCATAGGTTCCAGAGAAATGTGGTATACATTGGATTGACCAAATGGTCTATACAAAAAAAGGATTAAGAAAACAAATATGACATCGCCAAAAAAAAATACACCACAGCCCTGGCCACTTACGCCACCAACCCTGATGTAGAGGCCGACTTGGTCAATGCCAGCATTATAAAGAAATCCTTCCAGACATACCACATCAGGTCTTTGGAAACACTAGAAATTTACAAGGCAAGCAAATTGGGGAACTGTGTAAACTTCAAAGAAAGCTATGTGATATAGCAATATGCCTGTGATGACCATCCGCATCAATAATTACATATTCACTCAATGATCAGCCACAGCATTAAAATACGGTCATGGGATAAAATCATTCAATTCTGTACTATCAATGCATTTAACAGTTTTAAGCAATTTGTATTTGAAAACGTTCAAAAGTCTTGGCATTCCACAATTGGAATTATAAAAACCTGAAGCAGATTCTGGATAAAAGATTGAAAACATTTGCTCATTTACTACATTCAAACTATACTGGAAACCCAAAGGTTTAGTGGTGGTACTTATCCACTATAAAATTTTTTTATTTTTAAAATTTATAAAAAAATAAAAAGTAATTGTATTAGTAAAACTCCTAACTTAATAATAATAAAACCAGCAAAACAAACACTCGCTTGAAAAGCAAATGTTTTCACTCATTTTTAAAGGACATCATCAAGTTGGCAGTTAAAATTGAATCATTCTTTTGCTTCTTAAGGGTCTATGTCACATTTTCACCACTCCAATATATAACAGCTGGCAGATATTTTGTGCTTCATTTTTCATTTTTGAAGATGATACTTTCTTACAAAACAAGGTGTTCTGATGGAAAGCCCCTTTTCAGGTGCCTTATGTTAGTCATTTGCAAGTTGGAGACCTTCATCCTCGCTAAGTATCAGGATCATGTGGCTATATATTCTTGATACATCAATGATATACAGTACTTATTCTCTGGCACCAGGAGCCCAACACAACAATTAGTGGAGAATTTCAACAGTAACACTTATGGATTATATCTCAACTTGGAACAACACAGTCACAAGCATATGCATTTCCTGGACTTAGACATCCAGTTGAATAATGGATGCATAATCACAGGGGATTACATAAATCCTAAATATCTCTCTGTTTTCATACTGTCATGCTTGCATGATCCCTTTTTGTATAAATTGGCTGCCTTTAACTCATTGATCCATGGAGCATATGTATATATATTGGATCCACAGCAGGGAACAGGAATTTCACATTATCACAAACCAAGCTGTCCGACATGGATTCAATAAGATCATCATCAAGAGGCTCATCAACCCACTCTAGAAACATACAAAGTGGTTGCTTACAATGCAACACTTGCTCCTGTATATATAGAGATAGCCCATAATTGCATCAACATGGCCTTCAAAAGTAGCCCACCATATTTAATCTTTTTAGAAATGCCAAAGACTGTTGATCTGGCAACACTTATGGGGGGTATATTCCATCCCCTTTATAGACCATATATCCAACAGAGTTAGTATGTGGGAGCCACATACTAACTTTCCATCCACCTAAAAGAACATCAGCAGACCAAAAGGCCTCATATCCACCACCATACAGAATATACCAGAGATCTGGACAAAAATTTTACAGGAAACAGTAAATAGAACATAGCTCAGACATCTTGAGTTGATGGAAATTTACAAGGCAGCTTTAAGAAAAAAGGCCATCAACTATAAGGAAGATAATACCATCCCAAATCCATGGAAGATATATATTCACCCAACATAAATCTTGCAATTCCTGTAGGATTATATATACAATGTATCCACCTAGCTGGAGAGGTGAGATCATTCCAACAAATCAGCAAGTTAAAAAATTTAGTGCATAGACCTTTGGTGTTGAAGGACCCAACAGAGATTGTTATCATATCTGCTCTTCAAACATGAGGTTACCTGATGGACCAAACCAACCACTCATGCATTGACTTCAATTAATAATTCTACAGAACTGTTATAAAGGGCAAATTTCCACGGCAACAAGTTGATGTATAAGAGCGTATCTACAACAACTGACCCTAAAGATTTTTCTCATACAGATGAACCTTATTTTCAGAAGGAGAGAAACATAATCAGCTGATGTAGCCATAACGTAAAAATAGAAACTGCAAATACAGAAATTCAGACACTTGTGAAACCTTTGATTGTTTTTACTGTTTTTAAAATAGCAAAAATAATCACAGCCCTTGCTGTCTATGCACTTTCTGATTTGGTTGATGTTTGCTGGCAACATGCTAAAATTATCAAAAGTATCAGAAATAGACATCACATATGTTACACGGAGGCTCTATACATTTACAAATATGTGCAACAGGGTCATTTCATCAGTTTTACAGATATCAAAACCCTTTGTGTCATAGAGAGCCTATTTTGAGTTGAACATGGCATAACCAGAATTGACCTCTCCATATGTCATTGGGATGCTCATCATGTATATTTACCTATTTTTGTGTATATTTGTCTTATAATTTACGGATTTTTGAGCTATATAGAACTTAATTTTTTATTTATGATGTTTATTTTTCATCATTTATCCACTTATTTAATTTTATTTTTATTTATGTTATTTATTTTTTCATTATTTAGCTACATATTTATATGTAATTTTATTTTATTCTATGATTTTAATTTTTAGTTTAAACCAAACAGTATTTCCATGTTCAGAAATATTATTCATTGGGCTGCAGTTTGAAAAAATTGTAGACCTATAAATTCTCATTGTTGGCTGTCTGTTCATCCTTAACCTTGAGAACAAAGTTAGACAGATGAAAGTTGAGACCAGATATGGAATGCTTGGGGGCAGAAGGCTCTGATTAACTATATACAAACTTCTGATTTTTATCAGAAGTCATGTTGTTTCAATTAAAAAAATTTTTTCTGAAAGGAGTTAGATAGATCAGTGGTTCTTAACCTTTCTATACTC